GGGCAAAAGGCAGCAGCAGCAGCAGCTATTACGAGGTCAGCCAGGCAGCCCCCAGCTTCTCTTCCTCCAAAGGGGACAGCTCAGCTTCTCCCAGCACACGCTGGGCGTGCCCAGGCCTGTGCCTTGCAGCCGGCCAAGGGAACCGGCTGCAGCTCCTCTTCCCTCCCCGCAAGACACCTTGGCGGACACCCCATTTCCCCACGCACCCGCAACGAACAAAAAGGGAAGGAGGTCAGTGCAGCAGCGTCACCCCAGCACCCGCAGGCCTAGCACTGCAGGCCGTCGCCCGCTCGCCTGCCTTTGCCAGGCAGCTCCCCCACGCCAGCGCTGCCAGCGAGGAAGCCGGCACGCAGAGGCAGCGGTGCACGACGGAGCCTGAGACGCGTTCGCATACGCGCAGCGAGTTAGGAGGGGGGTCCCCACCTGATGGCAGACAGCGACTATCACTGGAAAGAGTTCGGGGGGGGGGGCGCGGGGGAAACAAGGGGAGAAACAGAGACAGCGAGAAGGCAAGGGCCAAACTCCCCCAGCAGCCACCCTGCAGCAGCAGCCACAGCGCACCAGGAAAGCGCCCGCCTCCTGCACCGGGCGCGGACCTCTCTGCAGCGCAGCCACTCATGGCAGGGAACATGAAGATCATCTTCACCATGCCTTTGCCCTCCTTCCCCTGAGACCTGCTCCTATGCCCTATGCATCATCCCTCCTTGGGACACTATTAGCACTGGCTGCACCACGCGAAGCAGGCGCCAGCACTGCCTACGGGGGTTCTGTGCCCATGATTCTTTTGGTCGCACTTCTCAAGCGTTCAAGGACTACTACATGCTGCGTTGTGCACTGCGCTGAGTCTTCTCCCGTTTAAACTAATATCTGCAAACACACCGTGGGGGCGGGGGGAGACCTGACGCTCACACCAGTGCTACTTGCTTCCCCCGACAGATCACCAGAACACCAATATCAGGCTGCGCAGGTGCAACGCCTTGACACCAACAGCAACCGAGCGGCACAGCAACATGAGGGAAGAGTGCCCCAGGGGCTCTGGGAAAACCCTGCCCCAGCTGCTGAGGTGAAAGGCCACAGAGCCACAGGGAGCAGGCCCCTTGCCTGCTAGCACTGCTAGGCCACTGGGGCCCTCGCAACAGCAGCCACAGCAGCTGAAAGAGACCAGGTGGACACTGGAGGGTGGTGGCGGTGGCAGGGGGCTCCTTCTCACCTGGAGGGCAAGGCTCATCCCTGCCACCCACAAATGTCCTTCCTCTTCCTCCTCCTCTAAACACCAGCAGACCCACAGCTACACAACTCATCCGAAACTTAAATCCACCCCCACCAAAACAAAGGGCAGGCACAAAAAAAGCCAGTGGTCCTTCAGGAACATTCCCTGTTTACAGCTCCTGTAAATGCTTGAGAAGGGCTCCCTCACACATCTTAGCCTCTGCTCACATCCACCCTTGCCCACAACACTCCACCACAGCAGCAGCTCTTTAGCAGGACCACACAACTGGTGGCAAACGGCACCATGTCCTCAGAGCAAAGGCTTTTGCTACAGCAACTCCACGTCTACTTGATGCAGGCAGGCCCGCCACAGCCTGCCGCGTCTTACCTACTAACGTGACAGGAGCTGTGTTCTTCAGCCTCATCTGGCAGTTCACTTGGCGTCCTACTTTCCTTTTGGAACTCCTCTGCCGGGCTACCAGCTGAGCAATCCGCACTGTCTCGGTGCAAGCAACAGCATGGCAGGTGACCTGCTCAGGGGACCAAAGAGACAAGGGCAAAGAGTCACTCAGGCCTAAGCTTAGCCACAGGCAGCAACACCATGCTCCCAAGCAAGCGCAGGCATTGAAAATATAGCACAAGAGTGGGCGACCAGAGACTCCGGAAACTTTGTAAACACCTCTGAAATTTAGCAGAGAGATGCTCAAGAGAAAAAAAGAGCTTTTCTCACCACAGAAGCAGGAGGACAGAAGGAGAAAAAGCAATTGCCAACCACAAAAAGCAAGTCACTGCTCAGCAGCAACACCTTATTCAGGACCTCAAAAGCTCTCCTCAGCCTCTCAGCCTGACCCAAAAGGCCTAGGGAAATGCTGCCACAGCATGACACCACCCAGAACAAGGCAACACTCTTGCCTTGCAACACGGCACTCCAGCTCATCCTCCCTCTCTTCTTACTCCTCCTCTGCTCAGCCCCAGCATCTGCACCTACCTGGCTCAACACACACACCCAGCTCTTGGGGG